TGTATTTACCTCTACACATGATGTCTTTGAAATTGTTGATCCTAGCGGTATGCAGGACGCGCGCGTGTCACATATCAACCAATTAAGCTTTCCAAAAACCATTAATGTCCCCTTCTTCATAGTTTTTTTTCTTTTTTCACGTTTGTTCTTCGAGCTTGAAGTTTACCATTTTTTATGTACTTATCTCTACACATGATGTCTTTGAAATTGTTGATCCTAGCAGAATGCTCGCCACTAGTCTCTCTGTGCCTCACTAGTTTCAACGTCCGACCGATATCAGATGTGTTCGAATTCCACCGGGTAATCTATTTTCCTTTGTCCCATAACAGTGACGTCGCGTACTGTTGTTGGTTTTTTAAACCCACTTCGTCTTTCGCAAACACAAAGTTTCAACAGAGCATTCGGTGAAATTTCAGATTGTCTGCGCCATCCTACCCTACTCTTGACCCTACCCTAACCCTGCCCCCCTTTGTCTACACTAGCATACCCTACCCTACCCTACCCCTCACCAACCCTTTTTGGAGGTCATTGACATTACAAGTTCAAATGGAACATAAATCGAATTTTCTCCATCTCCTAAACTAGCAAGCTTTTTCTCTCCCAAGTGACCGCCAATCTACTTATAGTTATTTCGAGTCTTTGACAACAAGTCTTTGTAAACAACTAGGCACGAAGCTTGCTTCATTAGCACAGGTTGTTGGTGGACTAAGATGGTCTAAAAATACCCTAGTCACATAAAGGAGACGATTTTGACTGAGAAAAGTGAGACCACATCATGAGACCACATCACTGGTGGAAAATAAGTCAGATCTCGGTTTTCAAATGATTAAGGTGACATTAAATTGAAACCCTTGTTGAATAATGTTTGGAAGCCTCGCTATTAACCATAAGCAGTTAAGTCAGAGATTTGAAAAAAATCTGTATGATTAATTCTCTAGTTAAACTATGGTAAATTAACAATCAACTTGATGAAAAAACTCTGAGACCTTAAGTAATAAAATGATAAGTTCCTCTCTCACTTAAAAGTAGTTACAATTTAAATTGTGAAGGAGAATTTGCCCTTTCTGCTAAAATTATTTTTTTTCTCTATGGAGGCAATTAATTGACCATGTAATCCTACCATCAGACGAACAAGCAAATTTATGATTGCACCTTGGTACTATGACGGGGGTGGGAGAGGGAGGAGAAGGAAAATCAAAATTATTTTCCCTTTCAATAGATGGTTCTAGGCCGCT